ATATTTCTATATTTTTTATGTGAAAAAAACAACAACATATTTATGTATTTGTATTATATATATAAATAGTGCATCATTAAAATTTTGTCATTATTTTGTACCACGGCTTAGTTGGATGCTTGTAATTAACTTCTTAATTGAAAATACTTATTAAAAATAATGAAAAGAGTAATATCTTGTCATGTTTTGGTGATCAAATAAATCAACAATAATAAATAAATAATTAATTAATGTATATAGTTGATGTCTTCGCCAAGTTTATCAATTATGTCCTTCAATTTTATTATGTTTGTGCATGCTTTTGCTTGTGTTAGTGTGTGATGCTTAGAATTGACATTTTTCTTCTTTTTGTTGTTGAAGTCAGCAGCATTTACAGGGATCCATGGCTACGCGATTGCTGGAGTTTGGGTGATATGTGGGCTGGGGTTTGGGACTTACCTTACCCTCAAAAATTTCATTGGCAGTAGCTCGGCTTCCTCTTCACTTCCCCAACATTCAGAATCTTCCTATATCATAATGTTCTTGCTCCTTATTCTCTTCTCCATCCTGGCCATGTAAGTACTTTTCCCATAAATTCAAAATTCAAACGAAATAAGTTTTTAAATTTTAAAAATATTTTTTTTGATATTTATTTTTGTTAAATTAATTTATATTTTATCAAATTGATAATTTTATCATTGAAATTAAATAATAGTATCTTTAATTATTCTTACTAAAATAAAATTTAAAATTTAAAATTAAACATATTATAACTAAAAAATTAATCAAAGTGACATAAATCTCAAAGTAGAGTGGCTACAATTCACCCTTAAAATACAATTCTGCCTTAAAATAATCATTTCCGAAACGAATCAGTCTTTTTCCCATTGCATTTGGAAAATGAGTGAGAGCACTAATTAGTGCTATCACTAATGATGTGGCAGTGGGTCTCACCAGGAATGATTTGATGTTTTAGCCTTGGTGTTGTATTTTTTTTCTTTTTTTTATTGAGTGTCATGTCATTAGTAATCTTTTTAGAGCTCCAAAATTAATAATCTCTATCATTGTTGATCATATAAATAGAATCTCTAGCCAAAATTATGTTTGAATAACATTACTACGTACTAATTTGCATTACCTTGGTATTTCTAACAACTTAACAATCTTGAAAGAAAATTGAAATTAGAATTTAAGATTGAATTTGATTAAGATGAAAAGTGATAAGAGCATATAAAAGATTAAAAAATTAAAATTAAAATTCCCTGTTTACTTAGCATTAAAATCGTAAAAAATGTAGAGAGTTAATTTTTTATTTTTTTATTTTTTTATACAAATCATATTACCAAAATAACTTTATTACGTAAAAATTACACCCATAAAAAATATTGTGAAACTATCCAATTAACTTCATCACCAAAATTTCATCTTAACCAAATATATATATATATATATAAGCCAATTATGTTCCGTCTAATTTCTCGGTGAATTTCATCTCACCAAGAAATTAGATAGAACATTGTGGGGGCCGAATATTAGGAGTCGTAATGAGGCCGAATAATTGAACTTGGAGAGTTGAGATATATATAGCATTCGGCTTCGTCTCGCACGATCAAATCCTTCCCTATTCGGTCAAATGGCCGGTTGGGCAAAGGGCCGAGTGAAAAGCAGTTCGCTACAAAAGAAGCCGAATGGCGAACTGAAGATGGGACCAACCCTGAGGCCCAAGAAAGAAAATATATAAATAGAGGAATATCAGTCAGAAAGAGGTATGTGAGAACCATTACGCTTAACTTAAAATACAAGTAATCCTAAGTGTAGAGACTGACCTGCCCGTCGGAGTGCTAATTCCGGCACCCCCGACCGGAGTGTTTATTCCTTTTCAGGTGACTAGCAGAGGATCACGAGCGTCCCCCAGGATCAAAGGAGTATTTCCAAAACCACATCTCCATAATTGGCGCCATCTGTTGGAATACTCAAACACATCCATGGCGGGCGTAACGGAAGACCTTCCGATAGTCACTGATGAAAACAGGGTTTAGAATGAATGTCCTTACAGTATGAAAACAGTTCATTTAAACAGTATTTCAGTCGTTTACAGTAAACAGTCATATGTGGTACACCCATTAGCATAACAGTACAGTAAACAGTAGGTCTCAAAAGATCGAACAGTAATGATGGCCATCAGTCAGTAAACAGTAGTGGTTCCAACAAGGGAATCGACAGAGAATTCTGTCGCAGTAACAGTAAACAGTAGGTGCTAAGGATGCCACAATACAGTTCAGAATATAGGACATACATTCATTCAGTTAACAGTAATCAGTTCAGAAAACAGTACAGTTCAGTTGTTCAGAAGATAATCTTTTGTGAACATATCTTTACACAATCGTTACTCACAGAGTTTGGGCTAC